GGTCGCTATGAGTCGGAAACGACTTGACGGCACTTAACAACACAACAACAGAAGCGTCCAGAATTTCCCCTTAGCCTTAGAAGATGTTGCTAATTCTTTGAAAGTCGAAGTTCAGCGGTCTTACTAAAACAAAAACAAAACTAGAAATGATGGTTTTTAAATGGATACTCATGAAAGTTTTATATGGCTCTTGAAAACTCTGGTAAGCTGGGATGCCCATGGGCCATTTGGGTTGTCTCATAGGTCATTCACTCCACAGATATTTATTGAGGGCCTATTCTGTGCCATGTTGTAGAGGCTCTAGCCTTGTGTGTATACCTTTGCTTAGGACTCTACCCTGAAGTGGTCCCGTAAGCCTTGGATTATGAAAAACACTAAGCAAAAAGAAGACCTGCATATACTCTTCTTTCACTGATGGACTTAAATATAATTGCAGAAATGTATCAGCACTCTACTACACATAAATTTTGAGTTCACAGTTCAGTAGGTCAATATGTCTACAGAATATCTGGATTTTTTTTTTCCTATTTTAATCATACCTGAACCCAATTAACTTAGTTATACCAAATTACTCCATACTTTATTTGAAGCAATATTAGTCAAAAGATTCTTCAGTGTCTGGAAACTAGTAGGTGTTCGTTGAATAAATCCTGCAATTTCTTCAAGTCTGGGAGCCCCAGCTTCACTTTTGAAAGTAGTTCTCTACCTTTGTTTTCCTCTAGACTTTGTCCTAGTCATTTCAGTTACCCAGATGCTGCCCTGAACCCCGGCAACTTAGCCAATACAAACTATCCTGCTGGCTAACTGGATTATGGTCCCAGGTGGCTCTATCCTACAGTAAGGCTCAGAGAAAGAAGAAAGAATGTGCAAGTCTACCCTTTATGCAGTAAGGATACTCTGAAGCCATTTAAATTGTATTTATTTATTATTATTAGCTCAGAAGTATCAGGGCAAAATACAACATTAAAGAATTGGAATGCTCTCCTGCTTTCCTTTTCCTTCCCTAATCCCCAACCATAGGCTCTGGATGCTGGCATTGTCTGGATCTTTTTTCAAAGAAGGTGACGTGAGGACAAACAGATAATGACACTAATCTTTCATCACCTCCCTATTCCTATGTCACTATATTCAATAAAATCTGCTTCTGGCCTTGAAGTTACAAAGATCACACAGTCCGTATCCTCAGGGATTTCATGGTCTTTGGGAGACTCTGTAAGTAAAAATTCAGCACAAAGCACAAGAAGATGTGTGAACCTGGAGGAAAGAGACTTTACCTCTGTCTTAGGGTGAAGAGGGGGCAGGCTACTCTTCAACAGAGGAGAATTATTATTCATTCTATTGGCAGGGCAGCAAAAGATACCAACCATTAAACTGAGGCTCTTATTTTTTTTCACTTTAAAATCTACTTAACAATGGTCCCCATTTACTGTCAAAACTGGCTTTTTTTTGTGATAATGCCACTAACATGATTATGCCAACCTTTCGCTACTGCTCACCTTACACTTAGTATCTTGAAGGTCAGGGTACTAAAAACTGGCATGGGTGTTTTCACTGAATGAGGAATCTGATTATCATGTTTGACTATTTAATTCTAAAATTGAAGATTAAAAAACAAGTTAATAGGTACTTCATAGGATGGATATGGAGTCAGCAGAATGGCTCAGCAGAGGATGAAGCAAGAAGCACTGTTAGGCATACACCAGCTCTAAGGGAGCTACTTACTCACTGTCGTCAAGTTGGATCCAACTCATAGCGACCCCTCCTTGGGTTTCTGAGGCGGTATCACTACGGAAGTAGATTGCCCAACCTTCCTTCCAACAAGGGAGCTAAGCGGAAAGTAATTCATGGTCTGTTTTTCTTAGGTAAGGCTTTGTTTTACATACCACGTGGAATGCTCCTGGTGCCTTGACAGGTCTGAAGCCATCCACAGGTATGCATTGGTCAGCGTGGCCATTACAGAAGCAGCTTCCCTTGACAATGAAATCATAGATTGCATAGTGTGTCAAATGCTGAGGCTCTTCTGTCAGGTCATTTCTCTGACAGGGACAAGACTGCCGTTTTAGTAGCTGCACACGGAGGTTGGTGATCTTCAACTGTTCCTGGACTTTGGCACTGTAAAGGTTCTCCACATCATATGGTGGTGACAAAGCTCTGAAAATAACCTGTAAAAAAAGAAAAAAAAAAACAAACCCAAGTATATAGATATATAGATCTGTATGCAAATCCTCAGTTGTTTGTCCAATATAGTCCTGATTTGACTTATACCTTTTGTATTCTGAAAGTGATAAGGTAGCAAGAGGTTTTTAGACCTTGATCACACCTGGGAAAGAACTCCCTGTTATATCAAGGAGCAAATGCACTTACCACCTGTTTGGATACAGAAGAATTATAAACACAGTAAGCAGCAGAGATTGAATATTGAGATGAAACTAGCATGGAAAGATCTTGGGGAAGAGCATTCTGGGGCAGAAGAACAATAAGTATAAAAGCCTTGAAGCAGAGTCAAGTTTGGCTTGTCCAAGGAAAAACAAGACCAGGTGTCTGGAGTCCAGTGAACAAGGGGAGAGAGGTCGGAGAGGAGGGCAGAGAGCCAGTACACCACAGACCATGCCTAGTGCCCTTGAAGGTCATGGTAGAGTTACTCTAACTGTAATGGGAAGCAACTGAAAGGTTTTAGTTAAAGAAGGGATATGATCTGATTTACATCCTTTTTTTTTTTTTTTTAAGATTCCCTTTGCTTCTCTGTGAGGAAAATGGATTATAACAAGTGAAGAAAGAAACAGAAAGATATTAGGAAGCAATTGCAAAATCAAGATGCAGGAATTTATACTTCTAAATCAAGGTTGGCCCTTTCCATATAGATACTTTGAAAGACTAATGAGTTACTAGTTGGAGTCACTATTGCTATAAATATTTTTTGGTATTTTTCTAAAATTGCCTTCCAAGCTTATGGCACATTTTGGAATATCCTTACTAGTAGTAAATATACATCCTTCGAGGGTGGATAATTTCTGAAATAGTAAAAAGTAACTTAAAACCAAACCTAGTGGTTAAAGTGGTTCATCGAGTTTAACAGCACTTCTGGTCCAATGCAGGATGTTATGACTGTTTTTATTGTGTAGGTCATATATAGACTCCAAAGGCAATGTAAAAGTTTAGCCCCAGCACCAGGACAGTGCTTGGTATGTATAAAAAAAAAAAAAAAATTCACTGCGCTCGAGTCAGTCCTGACTCATAGTGACCCCCTCCTTGCGTTTCCAAGGTGGTATCACTACGGAAATAGATCGCCCAACCTTCCTTCCTAGGAGTGGCTGGTGAGTTTGAACTGCCAGCCTTCTGGTTAGCAGTCAAATGCCTTAGGCACTATGCCACCAGAACTCGCTTGGTATATAGTAGGTATATAATACATTTCTGTGGAGGAATTGATTAATTGTAACATTGTTCTTGGCATTTGGGAGGTAACCAGAGAGAGGAATGTTTAGAAGGGACAGAATGTGGCTATTTGGAGGCCTTTGGGCCTATGTGTGAGTTTGCACATTATATAGGGTAGTGAGAGGCTCTGGGGTGAGTGATACAAAACTCTATGGAGCCTGTGACTTGGGAGAGTAGGGTTTGGTGGAAGGAAGGAATAGATCACTTTCAGTAGAAACCAAGGAATACAAAAAAGGAATTCCAAAATATGTTGTAACATGAAACAGCAAGGAGGCCAACACTAAGTTATAATTTGGTGTGAATGTTTTCAAAAAGACAAAAATAGATTTAAAAAAACTTAAGCAAACTTAACTTATATAGTAAGAGACACAAAGATGTATTAAAGCTCTATTAACAAAACCATGGAAACATTTTTAATAATCAAGTAGCATGAAAATAAAGTAATTTAAAAAGTTAGCCTTTGGGAAAATTACTACTGAGGGAGAATGTTTCCTAAAGTAACCTTCCAAAAAATAGCTCTTTTAAGGAATATTTCAGAAATAAAATTTCATTTTAGAAATCGATTTTACACAGAATGCATGAAAAGGCAAGGATCAACTTTGTTAGGATCACATTTCTAGGTCTACTGATTACAGAGTTGTCTTCAGTGAAATATAACTTTGGGAAGAAAGGGTGTCAATTGATTGGACACTTGGCCTCTTACAATCTATTCTTCATCCAGTAACCTGACTCATTTTCTATTAACTCCCTTGCTTAAACCTAACCCTGCCACACACACACCCAAAGACCTCCCATTTCTTTCAGATAAAGTACAAAGTTCTTATAAGGGTCCTGCCTCATTTTCATTCTTAGTACATATTACTAAGATAACTGGACACACTGTATTTGTAGCTGTATTGGTTCACTGTCTTCTCAGTCTAGAATGTAAGCTTCATGATGGCAGGGACCTTGTTTTAGTGATTGTACCCAGAACAGTGTCTGGTATATAGTGGGTATATAATAAATTTTTGGTGAAGGAACTGGTTAATTATAACATTGTTCTTGTATATACAATGGTTTACAGTAACAATATTAAATACAATATTAAAAATCTGAGGTACATAAATGGTTCTTAATAACAAACAGGTACTACTTTGTGATGTGCACCAAATGTTATCATTATTACTGTACTTTGTTAAACATACTTTAGTGTATCTGGAAGTGTTTCTTTAATGTTTTTTATGCATAGAAAGGTACACTATATACTATATATGAAGACAAATGTTTGATTAACTGATTTTAGATATGAACTGTACCTACCTGTTCCAACTTACATACAAATTTGACTTAAACACAGACTGAGGAATGGAACTTGTTTGTAATCTGAGGACTGCTTATATAGGGTCCTAAACAGATTCACTTTCTGTATTTCATGTTGTAGCACCAGATAGGGAGTTGTAAGAACTTTCATTATAATAATAGTAATAACTAACTGATTAATCAGTAGTTGTATTTCTTGATTCCCTGAGTGAAGCAAATGGTTAATGCACTTAGTTTCTGACTGAAAGGTTGGGGGTTCAAGGCTACACAGAGACTCCTGGGAAGAAAGGACTGGTAATCTATTTTTGTAAAACCAGCCATTGAAAACCATGTGGAGCACATTCCACTCAGATGCACAAGGTTGTTGCATGAGTCAGAATTGATGCGAGGGCAACTTTTGTTTAAATTTCTATCTATTTTGGAACTTGAAAAACTTAGAAAAAGTTGTATCCTAAACTCAAACAATATTCTGCCTCATTTATCCACATGTAAAATGGTGGAAAAACATAAGATAAAATTTTCCAACAAATATAATGTCACATAGTTGAGAGTCAATATTGAAGAAATGTTTTTTCTTTAATAGCCTAAATTAGAACATGGTTTTATGATCTGAATAATTAAAAAAAGAATTGAACCCATTGTGTACTTTATGTGGGACTTCTTTTCAATATGACATTGCAACCACTCACATTTCTGTTAGACATTTATGAAGAACTCCTTCTCTAAATAAAATAAATAATGTGGCTACGTCCTATTTTATCAACCATAATAATGCAAGGACACAAGAAAGGATAACCAGTGCTAACCAAATAAGCATCCACTGAAAAGTTGATGGCGTATTCCTCTATGCTGTCTGCCCACCCTTCCTTTTCCTGAACATTGGTAGCAACTGTTTGTTGTCTCTGTTCCTGTCTTGACATTTACCCGGGTTTCCCCCCTCCCTACCCCATCCCCTCTGGCCCTGAGAAATGTTCAGCTCTTGCAGGGCCAGTGGAAGATCTGTCAAGGTTTGTAGGAACTTAGAAGCTCTTTTGCTTGCTGCACCCAGTCTGTGGAAGCTGAATGGCGACTCTGTGCTTGGTGTGCATGACACCACAGTTGGCACGCTGATATCAGCAGGGAAGGGACAGCATGACCCCTGAGGCTGTATGCTGGAAAGGAGACAGAGTGCTACAGACACAAAAGTGAACGGGAATTTAAGCCATGAAATCTTTTCTCCAGAAAGGAGACGCCTTAATCTGATACCCTGGGAAATGGATCTACCCTGCATCAGGAAACAAAGAATACGCCAATCCAGATGCTTCAAACTTCTGGCAGGTCGCCCTTTGGGTCCCACCCAGTCTTTCTTCCTACTACCCAGAAGAGCCTGCAGGGCACTACTGAAATGAAGTAAGAAGAGGTGCAGAAGACTTCCATGTAATTTCAGCCATTTCCATTGTTGTTCTGGTAAGAAACAGCATGTATTTATGGTTCCATCACTATTCCTGTGTGTGACTGCTTCTGAATATACACTCCTAACAAGATATATTTAAAAAGCCAGAAGGTGACTAACATCAAGCATATTTTGATATTTCCGACTTGTTAGTGCTGCTGACCAGGACTTCATGATCTCATTTTTCAATTAAAAAAAAATTATTTTTTAGTGATAAATAATACGCTTATACAGAAAAGTCTGTCACTCAAAATGTTAGAAGACCTGTAGTGTGACCACCCCAAAGACAATAATATCTTTCCATCTAAACTTCTGTATGTATGCAGAAGAAGGTAAACAGTTTTATTTCAATTTAACAATACCTTGTGAATATTTTCCCAAATCTGTAAATACACTTCTGTGTCAAGAGGTTCTCAACGGGTAGCCCCAGACCAACAGCATCAACCTTAGAACTTGTTAGAAATGCAAATTATTGGGTGCTATCCCAGGCCTAGTGAATCAAAAACTCTGGAGGTGAGGCCCAGCCATCTGTATACCAGCAACACTCCCAGGCTATTCTGAGGCATAATAAAGTTTGAGGAAAGTGCTACATAACTTTAAAAGCTTGCCTGGAATTTTATTGTGCAGGTATGACATAATTTATTTAGCCAGGCCTCTATTAGGCATCTAGTTGTTCCCAACTTTTCAGTATAACCAACTGCAATGAAAAGCTAAAACTTTGTGGACATTTCTAGTGATTTCCCAAAAATACATTTTTAAATGCGAAATCAATGGGTGAAAGGAAATGCAAATGCAAAATTAAAAAAAAAATGAAGGTCAGATACTTTGCTACTTACTCTTTGGAGCTGTCCCATTTCTCTAGTCTTGCCTGACTTCCTCTCTCAGCCTGTTGTTGTTATGTGGCATCGAGTCAGCCCCAATTCATAGCGACCCCTCGGGTTTCTGAGGCAGTATCACTACGGAAGTAGATTGCCCAACCTTCCTTCTGAGGAGTGGCTG